GGGAATAATTCCCCGCCCCGTTACCCGTTTAAGCGGGTTTTCCTTTCCCCGTTCGGGGCGGGTCCCCGCGGGTATCGGGTTTGTCGGGTTTTTTTGCCATCCCTAATCTGGTCTGGTACACACCATTGCATACATCAAACATCCAACTGCACTGTCATAAGGCACCTTTGACATCTCTGCAATTTCTTCTTCATTCTTAGAGCACTAATTACTAAACAATCCTCAGAAGCACGGACACGTTGCCGGTGACAACGTATCGAACACCGATACGCCTCCAACGTGTGTCGAAGTTCCTTGCAGCGTGTCGGAGGTGAGAAAAGGCGAAGCTTGTAGAAATCAGTAAGAAAAATAGATGGGAGGAATAAATGAAGAAATGAACGGTGACCGTTGAATACCTGGGAAGAAATGCAACCCGTGGAGACTGGTCTGGGAAGAAATCGTTTGGGGAAGGAAAGAAGAAAGAGATAAAAGAGAAAGGAAATGAAGGTCGTCTGGAGAAGGAAAGAAGAAAGAGAGAAGAAAGGAAATGAAGAGACTGCTCAGGAAAATGAGAAGGAAATGAAAGTCTTACCTAAACCAATGAAATTTTTAAATTAATGGGCCCACCACTATAAAATTTCTCTTTTAGTAATGTAATAATGTACGTTTTTTTATCAATATTTATTTGTTCCAGCTATATTATTTGACAAAAGAAATAGGCAAAATTTTATTTGAATAATTTTTTAACCATTTTACCTTTCAATAAAAAATCAAACTTATATAAGAAGTCAAATGCATTTTCTTCCTCATTATAACTTACGAAAATTGCAAGAGAAATTCAAAAAATCCACTTAAATCTTTCTTTCTTATTTCACCTTCTTCAAAAATTCCATCTATCCACATTTGAAGATTTATTTGCAAGATCGAGAAGAAGCTATTTTTTTCAAATTTCGGGTAATATCACTCCTATCTTATTTAACTATTTGAATTTTTTACTTTTGAAGTTATGAGTGGTGATGCTATGGATGATTATTTATCCAAACCTCTTTGGAAACATGTTACAAAACTTGATAAATTTAACGAAATGGATGGTAACATTCTTTAGCAATGCAATTTTTGTAATGCAACTAAGACAAATTCATACACAAGAGTGAGGGCACATTTGTTAAAATTATGAGGTTATGGAATTGGGGCTTGTGGAAAAGTAACCTTGAAAGATATATGTGAAATGCAAAAAATGGAAGATGAAGCCAAGTTGAGAATGCAAACTAAGGTGGGAAAAGAGTACCATTGTTATCGGATAATATGAGTTCTAAGGATGGAGGAAAAAAAAAAGAAAGAACAGTGCAATAAAAAATGCTTTTAATGTGACAACACGTGACCAATTGGATTCCGAAATTGCTAGAATGTTCTATTCAAGTGGTTTACCTTTTAATCTTGCAAGAAATCCTTATTACATTAGTTCTTATACTCTTGCTTCCAATAGTCGAATTTCGAGGTATTTGCCTCCCGGTTATAACAAGTTGAGAACTATTCTTTTTCAAAAAGAGAAAAAATGTGGAAAGGTTATTAAACCCAATTAAAGGCACGTGGGCGGAAAAAGGAGTTACCATTGTAAGTGATGGATGGAGTGATCCACAAAGAAGGCCACTAATTAATTTTATGGCGGTGACTGCGAGTGGACCAATGTTTTTAAAAGCGGTTGATTGTTTCGGTAAAATGAAAGATAAATATTTTATTCCTAACTTGATGAAGGAAGTTATAAATGAAATTGGTCATGAAAAGGT